AGTTAAGTTTCATTTTAATTTACTCAGAAGTACAATTCTATGAAAATGTTATTTGAATAGACGACATATACTTTTCTTTCATTCATTTAATTAAAATTTCATTTTAGTATTTAAATACTGTTAATGCAGTGGACAAAGGGACAGTGAATCAAACCACTGTATAAATAAATTATCTCATTTGTGTGTGTTGAATATAACAAGGACACTTATACCTGAGTATTTTTGTAACATTTTCACTGCTACTTCAAAAAGTGCAAAAGAGCTGGTGGAAAACTTCACCAGCAGCTGGCAGATCACAGATCTACAATTAACTATTGTACAGAAAAACAACAACAACATGTAAACTGACATCAGTAACACTGTTTTACATAATGCTTTTTTAGACAGAACATTTTTCATTGACTCCAGACTCTCGATGGTGACGGTGACAAACTATTACAGCGATGAGGATGATTGTTTTTATAACAGCTACACAACACACAACCACACACACACTACATGTTTCCTGTAAAAACACTCTGGCACCACTGACTCTGGGTGCGGTGACACTTCTTTGTGTTTGTGAACAGGATCTGAGCTGAATCTGCCCTCAGACTCAGACTCAGGTGCAGGAGTCTGACGGCTTGTTATGATCAGTAGCTATAATGGCGTGTGCCACACGGGGGCGCCGCAGTGTTTTCTGTATGTGTTGTTAACAGAAGTGGTGTAGCACTTGTACATGAGAGTTCACCGCCATTACGGGATATTAAAAAGAAGGAATTATTGAACACAAAGCACGCCTCGTTCTTCAGCAATAACATGAACATGACACGGCTCATGGGAGAATTAAACTTTTGTGATTATTGTGGCACTAGAAGTTCCCGTTTAACAGATTTCACTTTGTATTCTCTGTATTTTTATGGAGTCGTCTCTAGTCAAAGTACAAAACAAAGTAGAATAAAAACACAATAATAATGTAAAATGTGGATATTGTGTGTTTCTTGTCTGTGGATCATGAGTGTTGTTGTGTGTCCTTCAAAAAGATGAATAATTTAAGTTTTTCAAACGTGTCATGGAGCGTCAGGGCGGATGGTTGCAACAGTAAAGTCCAGTTTGATCAATGCCTGTGTGGGGAGAGACGACGCACTAAGATGGCGCAGCAGCAGCAGCAGAAGCAGCAGGAGGCCCGTGTTTGTTTCCTGCGGTTTCACTGACGGACTTTTTTCTGTCACTGAGTTTTTTTAATCGCAGTAAAAATGTAAACCGCAGCGGGGGGTCAGTCTGGGGCGCGCGGTGTTTCCGGAGTTTCCTCATCCTGAAGCCCCGGGGTTCAGGTGGGGACACGGCTCAGATCTGCTGGAGGAGAAGAGGAGGAGGAGGACAGAAGGAGGAGGAAGAGGTTGGGGGTTTTACCTTCGTGGCACATGGGGCAGCACTGTCCGTCCGGACTGCTGTATTCGTTGGGTTGGCAGCAGAGCGCGGGCAGCACACAGAGTCCCAAACCTGCGGAGACCAGAGCGCAGCTCAAGGACCACAGTCCGCACACAAAGGGACACACGGGGACAGAGCGCGGACACCGGGGACACCGGGCCCCGCCGCGGCTCCGGGCGCGCACCGGGCGCACGGAGCGGCGCGTAAAGACACTTACCTATGAGCCCGACCGTAAACGAGCAAAACATTATCTGAAAATGACATTAGGCCTGCTAAACTGCGCCGTGGAGAAGTGGAAGCTGCATTCATGTGATCACGAAAACCAGAGGAAGCGGATCCATTGTGAAATTGTGCATAAAAATAAAATGGTGTCGGAGTTTTGTGGTTAATTGCGGATCAACTAATGAGGCCCGTTTCAGACGCTTTTGTTGCTGAGTTTACTTCATTAAATAGAAAATAGTTTCTTTTTTAAAAATATATTTTACTTGAATGTGTTTAATTTGTGCAGGAAAAAACATCAGTGTAAAGTAAAACAGAATTCCTCTGAGTCACGGTGATGAAAACTCCGGACTCCAACACTTCGAGTCTCCGAGGTCAAATTCCGACCTGAGCTGCGTTCATTTCCCGTTATTTCCGAGTTGAAGTTTGAAGACTGGAGTTGGAGCTTCACTTTCCGAGAGGACATAAATGCAGCATGAGTCATCAGACCTGACGTCATTTCCGCGTTGGATGTACTTCTGCAGCCACAACAGGCCCCAGTCCAGCAGAAGGAAACAACAAGACCAAAAATTCAAGTTAATTCATCTGATATAAAAATGTATTGAACAGATACATATGTACTCGAGTTTATCAAACTGTTGATCTTTTTTCTGTACCATTTTTGGTTCTAAAGTTCCATCCGTTTTAAACAGACCATGAATGAAACATGGAACAAAAATTATTTCCCAAATTTCAAAGACCTGAAAATCATGTAAATAAATGTTTGTATTTCATCATATCTTGTGTTATTCCATCTTTGAACTGTTGATGAAGGGACAGGATTTAAAAAAATAAAAAATGTATTTAAAATGATAAAAATGTTCTTGGAAGGACTGACATATTTTATAGAAATAGTTTCTTTCATTTTGAAGTAATATTAAAATATTCAGAAGAAAAAAGCAACAAATGATGTAAAATCCTGCACCTTCTATTTGTTTGTACAATTTTCCCTCCGTTACTTTTCCCTCCGTTACCATGAACTTTCTTAATAAAAAATCTCATGAGTCAAAAAGTCAGAGGTTTTTCAACCTAATCTTGTACCATATGGTAGAAAACTATATGAAGCAAATATTCAAACCAGTTTGTTAAGGATATGGAAGTGAGAACCAAGAGTTATCACTGTTTGGATTTATTGACCAAAAAGTGCTGCATATTTCATTCCCTCCGTTACCGACATGAGTTTTTAAATTTTTTGTCTTGAACTTGAAAGAATCTCACAGGTTTAACTTGACCCTGTTGGAGTGTAACTCTTTCCTACATTCTGATACTTTACTTATTTCAATAGTTCCTCTAGTTTCTGAACAAGAGACATTTGAATGTCAAAAATCTGACCCTGTTTCCTCCGTTAACTGCTTGACTGGACCTGTTAGAATAATTGTAGATATTATCCCATATTTGCTGTATTTGCTATGTACTATTCTTTGTGTATTTGAATAATCTTTTGTGCTTGGAAACTGTGTGCAGTCATGTGTGAGCAACAGTGATTCAGGCCTCGGAGTCTGGGAGCAGACGATCTCAAGGCTGCACAGAGAAAGTTGTGTCTGAAAGTGAAAGGAAACATCTGCACCTGATGTTGTTAACACATATTTGTCATATTTGTATGTCTGGTGTTTCTGCTGTTTTCAGCCCCTCTCCCTGAGAGCGACACACCCAGTGTAACTAGGGACCCTCCTAAGACAATAAAAAGAGGAGATGCAGAGAGAGCACCAGAGCGAGTCCAGACTGTAACAGTGAATGCACTCTCTGTCCACCCTCCTCATGAGAAAACGATTCTAATCTCTTGTCTTTCCTCTTGTTTTTACAATGTTTAGGTGGGTTTAAACTGGACACTGGACCCAATAATAAAATCTTACTGTGGTTCTATGTTGGGGCCCCTGTGCTCTTCTTAAAGATCCACGGGCCCCAGCACAAAAATAAGACACATGTTTCGAAAGGGAAAGAAAATAGTCGCTTTTAAAATGATTATATCAGAGAATGACTGAGTGGGGATTTGGACACAGACACTTTCACTTCTGTCCAGAATCTTGCACTTTTTGTTTTACAGAAAGTGAAACTATTATTTTTTTAATAATTATTTTATCTGGCAAAGGAGAACCGTAAACCCAAATAAGTTTCCAGAACTCAAAATAAACGAGGCCGTGTCGGGTTCGTGTACCAGTCGTTCTTTTAAATTTCAATTAAGAACGAAATATAGTAAAATGGGAAAACAGTTTATTTCATTTTTCCAATTTAATGTCAAACAAAAAACAGATTTTAACCTCTATTTCTAGTATTTAATTTAAAGTTTAAAGTCTCGGTGACTATGTTAATTTTTTTGATATTTGATTCTCTCTGGTTTATTCGTCCTAGAAGTTCTGCTGCTCAACCGTGGATCTATAATAAAAACTATTTTAATTCTAGTTCTTTGGAGTCAACTGAACAAAGTTTATCGCTGCCAGGTTAAGTATCGGTAAATATATATTTTTAAAATAGTTAATATTAAGTGAAAATCAATATTTTCAAAGCAAAAAATTGATTTTCACTTAATATTAACAATAAAAAATATATATATATTTACCAATACTTAACCTGAGAGGGTTCTACAATTGAAACAGACAAAGAGAAAAAAAAGTATAAAAAGAGACGGGAAGTTCTTAAACACCTGAGAGAAAATTTATCTGTGTAATTTAAAAATGTTCGGTCATAAGGATTTAAAGTAGGAACTTATACACTATTCATAAATCCACTATTTATAAAAAAAATAATAAATAATAAAATAATAATAATAATAATAATAATAATACTGCTGCTGTTGCTGTTACTATTGCTACTAATGATAATGATAATAATAATGACATAATTTATTATTGTAATTAATAGTAGAGACAATAACAATTATTATTATCATTATAAATAAATAAAAAGAAATGCCTTAAGGAGGATTTTGCTTTGAGATTGTGACGGACGGTGAAAGATGATGAAGGAAAATGATGATGGTGAAAATAATATTGGTTTAAATAGGGACTAAAAATTTATTTAAAAATGAGGAAGAAAAAAATGCATTTAAAATTATGATTTGATTTTGTAATAAATAACAAAAAATTATGAAAGGAAATGATAATGGTGAAAATAATATTAGTTTAAGTACAGTAAAAAATTATCATTATTATTATTATTTAAAAATGGGAGAGGGAAAAGGGAAAAGGGAGAACAGGAGTTTCAGCTGTGAACAGGCTGCAGTGTGTCAGTGCAGAGTGGCCTGTCGGTGTGTTTATGTTGCATTACTATTTTACTCCAGATTTGTGTTATTTTATCGCTGCTACTTGTTTCTTATCATGGAGCTCAACAATGACTTTTTAAGACATGAAAGTAAACGCATCGCTATAAAAGAAGAGACGTGTTTGTCCACAAAACTGCAACGATTTTTAGTTAAGTCCTTCAAGCAGCAGAATTTCCAGGGCAAATAAACCAGAGAGAATAAAATATCCAAATTAAAATAGGCACCGACTGTTTTTTGATTGATATTATTTGAAATAAACTTTAAATTAAATATTAGAAATGGAGGCTGAAATCATTTTTTTTTTGTTTGACACTAAAACAGAAAAATGAAATAACAAACTGTTTTCCCATTTTATTGTCTTTCCTTCTTAACTGAAATTCAAAAGAACGACTGCCTCAGTTATTAAGTCACAATCTTCCAGAACTTAAAAGGTCGGCTGCTTTGTTGGTTTGCTCCTTGAACCTTTTGGTAATAAAAAGTGCTCATTTTGCGCAACTCAAATATTTACAGTTAAACTTCTATTTCATTTTCAGTTTTGTCTGTAGTTCTTGATTTTGTTCACACATTCATCTGTATCTACACATATTAGAGTAAACTTAAATACTATAAACAAATGTTATTACACATATTTAAACCCAGAGTCCCTACGTGAAAGTCAGAGGAGTTACTCGTCTAATCAATATTATATAATATGTCGACAGTTTAATAATACACACTTACATAAATACACATTATAGTATACACATAGTACTTTATACACACATTATATTTCAATTACTTTATTCTACTAAGTTTTACGTCATCTGTGTTTTTAAGTTGCGCTCATTTATACCCACAATTTTCCTTTCAAAAAATATTGGTTAAAATTACTCAAAAAGAACATGTTATAGCAACTTGACATTATTAAGTTAGTGGGACTATTTTTAAAACGTTGAGTCTCCGCAACTTAATCTATTTAATTAGTTTGAATGTTCAGTTTTACAGTGAAAACACTGAACACGTTTGGCAGCTCGTCCAAGCTGCTTATCAGTTGTGGTCAGACGCTGATGGACTCTTTACTCTGCCTCTTATTGGGCTCAGGTTTCATCCCCTGATACAAACAATCACACAAACACACACACACACACACACACGCACACACACATGCACGCGCACACACACACACACGCACGCGCACACACACACACACACACACACACACACGTATAGAGCTCCATCTGCTTTTATCCTAATGTGAGAAATGCGACAGTTGGACTAAGAGCTCCGATGGCTTGAAAGCTTCAACGGTGGCGCTCGTCATTTTACTGTCAAAATAGTCGCCCGACAACCTGAAGCCACATGGGCTCTATACACACGCATACACACACAAACACACATCAAATTTACAATTAGAATCATTCTTTTAATAAGCAAATAGAGAAACACAGGAATGTTAAAGAGCAACAGAAATAAAAACATAAAAGATCTGTCCAGTACATGTACATACAGTGGAGCAAAATTATAATATCCAAAAAAGTGGTGACGCCATTATTAAAAACAATCATGTGTTCATAATCTAATTGTATGTACATATATTTTTTACATTTTGTGACCATCAACACTGAAAGACTTGTGCGTAAAAACAGCAAACACCACCTCACCTGTTGTAGCTCCACTGAAGTCGTCTCTTTCTGGTCACATTGTGTTAAAATAAAGACGAAGATCTGATCATTTCCCAGTACATGTTTGGATCTCGATTGCATCAACAGTTTTTCTTCCATCAGTAATTGCATCATGTTGATCTTTTCACACGCTGTAGATGTTAAATGTGTGACGTGGTCTTTATGCTTCATGATGTAGGTGGTTTTCTCTGATCCTCCAGAGGGTTCAGTTCTTCTGTTGGTGCTGGTGGTGGATGAGGCCTTTTCATTGCAAACCCGCATTTCTTGATGATATAAAACAGTCCAACTGCAACTAATGACACGAGCAATACAACACCGACACCAAGCACCAACGGCTACAGTCGAGTCTTTTTCTCCACATTCAGCGTCCGACTGTGAGGTTCCTTCTTTCACTGTGATTTTGTTCTTCTCTTCACACCTGGAACAGTCACAGTCACAGTCACAGCCCAGACTTTACACAGACATGTTATATTTGACTTTCTGGCTGTTTTTAGCAGAACACATCAGATTAAACTCATTCAGTTTGTAAGTAGTCCATACAGTTTAATATCCAGGCTGGCGCCCCCTCGTGCTTCCGCTCAGTTTCATTTGTCTCCAGCTCTAGGTCACGAATCAGAAAACACTAGACGGTTTGCAAGAACTACAGAAGTGCAAGACCAGCCAATCAGAGAAGAGACAGACGTTCTGTGTTGGCGACGATTCCCCAGATCGAGGATTTAAAGTCAGAACAAAGAGAATGTTTGGTGAATTTGATCTCGGGGAAAGACGTTATTGTTCTTCTTCCTACAGGATTTGGAGCTTTACAAACGTCACGACCAAACAGCAGCGACTGGTTCAATAAAAAAAGTCCCCGTCTACTGTCGAGCGAACGAATCCTAATGCTGCAGGTCACACGGTTTACACCAAGTGAAACCAGCTCATGAATCAGTCTAAGGCTACGTTCAGACTGCAGGTTTAACGCTTTTTTGTGAAATCTGATGTTTTCGAGGTCGTTCACATTTCCAGTTAAATGTGACTTGTGTGTGACTCCAGTGTGAACATTAAACGGTCCAAAAGTGTCCCACATGTGACACTGGAGACACGACGACGTCAACCGCAGCGAGCGTCTCTGTGTTTACACAAGTTGAACAAACATGGACGCAGCATCGAGCACCTGGAGATTTTAAAGTTCCTCTCGTACCGGAGCCACAACATGAACAACTGACTTGTTTTAAGGAGGAGATTGAGAAGGAGAAGGACCAGGTTTTTGGTCGTGGTGTTTTGTGGTGAGTGGAGATGTGCTTCACTTCAGTCACATGGATCATGAACAGTTTTCTCTACTTCAGTGCAGAATAGTGACGTTTGTGTCTTGTTGATGACGTGTAGGTGGATGAATGTGACCTGACCGTTCACACTCAAGTCACACTAAAGATCAGATATGGATCAGTTTCAGGAGCACAGATCCAAGTGTCCTGGGTCATGTTTGAAAACATCAGATCTGTGTGGTTCAGACGTCATTAAAAGATCAGATACAGGAACATAGAGACAAAAAATCGGATTTGGGAACTTCAGGCTTCAGTCTGAACGTAGACTAATAGTTAAGATAAAAGTGGGGGTGGGATTAAATATATTTTCTTCTTCCCACTTCCTTTTGGGCAAATTTTTTGTTGTGGTTATTTTTATTTCTATTACAATTTCACTTATGTTTAATGTTCCATTGTGTAAGAATGTAAATATCTACTTGCTCTCTAAAAAAATTCTGACTGTCCATGTGACACAGATTACAGTGAAGTTATTTGAAACATTATTTTACTCTCACTTCCAAATATCCCTGTTACTCCAATATCAATTAGAGGTTCTATTCTAGGGACGATTCTCAAAAACCGATCCTGTTGTTTCGATATAATTCCGTGTTTGATTGAGTTTGATTCTCACCACGCACACTGTGTCGTCTCTTTGGCACAAGCAGAAGGTAAACAGCTCTGCGGAGACTTAGTGCTGCTGGATTCTAACAGAGGTGAGTTTGATCTTTCAGACACTTTTTATTTGATTGAATCAGAATTGACGGCTCAAATCACACGCGACTCGTGATCCAGACTAGGGATGAGGCGATTCACTTCAGTCACGATTCGATTTGACTTTCGATTTTACACTCCAAAATATATTCCACTAACACTGAATAAAAAATAAAGTCAAAGTTATTAATGCTCAGAACTTTTGTTAACATGAACAATAAATCTAAACATTTAGTGTTCCTGCTGTAGATATCGGAAATAAATGACTCGTGTGTGTGTGTGTGTGTGTGTGTGTGTGTGTGTGTGTGTGGAGTGCAGTGCAGTGTCGGGGAGTAACAGATTACATGTACCAGAGTAATCAGAGTACAAATGATGAGTAACTGTATTCAGTTACAGTTACTGTTTCAGTGAGTGGTAATTGGATTACAGTTACTTTGTTCAAATAAATAGATTACACAGAGGGATTTTACTGTTTTCACATTATTTTTATTTTTATTTATTTATTTATTTTTTCGTTGATTCCACTCATTGCTGGAAACTAAACCAAGTCTAAACCAGGACTAAATCAGGACTAAAAACAGGTCTAAACTAGATCTAAACCAGGTCTAAACTAGATCTAAACCAGGACTAAAAACAGGTCTAAACTAGATCTAAACCAGGTCTAAACTAGATCTAAACCAGGTCTAAACCAGATCTAAACTGGGTCTAAACCAGGACTAAACCAGATCTAAACTAGATCTAAACCAGGTCTAAACCGGGTCTAAACCAGGACTAAACTAGGTCTAGACTAGGTCTAAACTGGGTCTAAACCAGGACTAAACCAGATCTAAACTAGATCTAAACCAGGTCTAAACCAGGACTAAAACCAGGTCTAAACTAGATCTAAACCAGGTCTAAACCAGATCTAAACCAGGTCTAAACCAGATCTAAACTGGGTCTAAACCAGGACTAAAACCAGGTCTAAACTAGATCTAAACTGGGTCTAAACCAGGACTAAACCAGATCTAAACTAGATCTAAACCAGGTCTAAACCGGGTCTAAACCAGGACTAAACTAGGTCTAGACTAGGTATAAACTAGATCTAAACCAGGTCTAAACCAGATCTAAACCAGGATTAAAACCAGGTCTAAACCAGGACTAAACCAGGTCTAAACTAGATCTAAACCAGGACTAAACCAGGTCTAAACCAGATCTAAACCGGGTCTAAACCAGGACTAAACCAGGTCTAAACCAGATCTAAACCGGGTCTAAACCAGGACTAAACCAGGACTAAACTAGATCTAAACCAGATCTAAACCGGGTCTAAACCAGGACTAAACCAGGTCTAAACTAGATCTAAACCAGGTGTAAACCAGGTCTAAACCAGGACTAAACCAGGTCTAAACCAGATCTAAACCGGGTCTAAACCAGGACTAAACCAGGTCTAAACTAGATCTAAACCAGGACTAAACCAGGTCTAAACTAGATCTAAACCAGGTCTAAACCAGATCTAAACCGGGTCTAAACCAGGACTAAACCAGGTCTAAACTAGATCTAAACCAGGACTAAACTAGGTCTAAAACAGGATTTAACAGGACTAAATCCTGCTGCGTGGACGTGTCTCCTCGTTTTCTATCAATAATATTTTTAATACGGTTAAGTTTCCTCGTCTTTGTTTCTCTACGGCAAATCAAGTAATCCAAAGTAATCAGATTACGTTACTCACTTTAATTAATTGAATGGATTATGTTACAAACTACATTTTGGGGTGTGTAATCTGTAATCTGTAATCTGTAGGGGATTACATTTTAAAAGTCACCTTCCCAACACTGGTGCAGCCAAACGACACGTGTAAAGCTACGTCCAGGTAACAGAGTCGTTATTTATCCAAACAAAGAGCAGCTTGAATTTCATATAAAAGTCGTATACAAAGAAAACAAAAGTAAAAACTTAAGCGTCTGAGTCCACAGGAAAATCAGCCGTGGCTCTGCTTCATTTACCTGCACATTTGTTTAGAATGATAATAAAACATCATAGAGTCGCCTGCTCTGTTTAAAATATGAATTAACATATAAATATAAAGTAAAGTCAAAGATTAAATATTATTTTATTAATAATCTTGGCTTAAAAATAAAAAGACCTGTTCAGGAACCGGTGTCGAAAAGCAGGGATCGTTAAAGGACTGGTAAAAAAATCAATCAAACAAACAAACAAACAAACAAACAAACAAACAAACAGTGCCCGGCCCTCGATGGGTCTGGTTGAGCAGGTTCGGTCTGGTTGAGCAGGATAATCAGCTGCAGCCATGTTCATGTTCTTATCGTGTGTGGAAAAAAGACAAACAAAAATAAGAAAAACCTGTACCGTGTGTGCGGCCGACAGGACGACAGAGTCCCATTAGAGAAGGAGTCTGGAGGACACGGAGAACAAACTGTGTCTGTAGAAGAACTCCCTGTGAACACACACACACACACACACACTATTATAAACAGAAAGTTTCAATGCTCCACACGCTGTAAATCATGTATTATTTTCAGTGCCCGACCAGGACGAGCTCAAAATCTGGAGATGGCAAACTGGACGGGTCAAATGCAGAGGACCAAACCCTCCACAAAATGAATACAGCAAATAAAACAAACCTTAAACTTCAGTATTTGGGTCTTATTCTGCTCAGAACCTCTCAGAAAGTTCACTGGAAACGCTTTGTGACGGGCCTGTGTGAACTTGCCTCGTGTGAAGCTGCGGAGCTCATCATGTCCTCACTGATCCACCGAGACCAGCTCAACACAAACAAGAACCACCGACGCAGCTTTTGTCCTCGAATATGAACATATGGACCCTAGAACTTTCTGATTTGCTGTTCTATAACTTAGAATGATGTGTAATAATGTGTTTAAAGGGGATATCACACTTCTATGACGCATTCATAGTAAACACAGAACATATTTAGATCATCATGTCGCCTTTTACACATTCAAATGGTTTAAGTTTAGTTCAGTTTAGTTTGTTTAGTTTTTGATGTCATGTCCTGCACATCACATACGTTTTGTCCTGTCGCTGTGTTCAGTTTTTGTGTATTTATGGAGAGTTGTCGTGTGTGTGTGTGTGTGTGTGTGTTTTACCAGTGACGTGCACAGACGCCCCTTTGTCCTCAAGACAAAAAGTGACTGAGACTGAGACACACACAGACTGAGTCACACAGACTGAGACACACACAGACTGAGTCACACAGACTGAGACACACAGACTGAGTCGTGTCGCTGCAGCAGAGGAGGAGGAGCAGAGATCAGGTGTCTGAGCTCTTTGCTCCAGGTAACACAAGACTCGAGTCGAGTTGTTCTTTTCCTGAATCTGACCTGAATTTATTTGTTTCTGTTGTGAAGTCGTGTCTCGTACAAACACCTGAGCAGAAATCAGAGACTCTGTGTGACAGGGACACATCTCTAAACAGACTCTGTGTGACAGGGACTAGAGATGTGCGGATGGCAGTTACAACCGCGGACTCCGCGGCTAAACCGCGGGTCAGGCGGATGACGTGACGAAAAATAATATTTTAATTAAATTCGGGCGGGTGGCGGATTCACTACTCAAATAAAAAACTCTGAACTCAGAGCAAATGGGAGGAGAGCGAGCGGATGGTGGGCAGGTGCTGTTTTGAATAACTGTGGTTGCAAATGGACAGAGGGGGGATGATGAGTTTTGCAATGCGGTTGCAGATGAAAAAGTCGCCCATCCGCACATCTCTAAACAGACTCTGTGTGACAGGGACACATCTCTAAACAGACTCTGTGTGACAGGGACACATCTCTAAACAGACTCTGTGTGACAGGGACACATCTCTAAACAGACTCTGTGTGACAGGGACAGGGACACATCTCTAAACAGACTCTGTGTGACAGGGACACATCTCTAAACAGACTCTGTGTGACAGGGACACATCTCTAAACAGACTCTGTGTGACAGGGACACATCTCTAAACAGACTCTGTGTGACAGGGACACATCTCTAAATAAAGACTGTGTGACAGGGACACATCTCTAAACAGACTCTGTGTGACAGGGACACATCTCTAAACAGACTCTGTGTGACAGGGACACATCTCTAAATAAAGACTGTGTGACAGGGACACATCTCTAAACAGACTCTGTGTGACAGGGACACATCTCTAAACAGACTCTGTGTGACAGGGACACATCTCTAAATAAAGACTGTGTGACAGGGACACATCTCTAAACAGACTCTGTGTGACAGGGACACATCTCTAAATAAAGACTGTGTGACAGGGACACATCTCTAAACAGACTCTGTGTGACAGGGACACATCTCTAAACAGACTCTGTGTGACAGGGACACATCTCTAAACAGACTCTGTGTGACAGGGACACATCTCTAAATAAAGACTGTGTGACAGGGACACATCTCTAAACAGACTCTGTGTGACAGGGACACATCTCTAAATAAAGACTGTGTGACAGGGACACATCTCTAAACAGACTCTGTGTGACAGGGACACATCTCTAAATAAAGACTGTGTGACAGGGACACATCTCTAAACAGACTCTGTGTGACAGGGACACATCTCTAAATAAAGACTGTGTGACAGGGACACATCTCTAAACAGACTCTGTGTGACAGGGACACATCTCTAAATAAGACTGTGTGACAGGGACACATCTCTAAACAGACTCTGTGTGACAGGGACACATCTCTAAACAGACTCTGTGTGACAGGACACATCTCTAAACAACTCTGACTAAAGACTGTGTGACAGGGACACATCTCTAAACAACTCTGTGTGACAGGGACATCTCTAAAGACTGTGTGACAGGGACACATCTCTAAACAGACTCTGTGTGACAGGGACACATCTCTAAATAAAGACTGTGTGACAGGGACACATCTCTAAACAGACTCTGTGTGACAGGGACACATCTCTAAATAAAGACTGTGTGACAGGGACACATCTCTAAACAGACTCTGTGTGACAGGGACACATCTCTAAACAGACTCTGTGTGACAGGGACACATCTCTAAACAGACTCTGTGTGACAGGGACACATCTCTAAACAGACTCTGTGTGACAGGGACACATCTCTAAATAAAGACTGTGTGACAGGGACACATCTCTAAACAGACTCTGTGTGACAGGGACACATCTCTAAACAGACTCTGTGTGACAGGGACACATCTCTAAACAGACTCTGTGTGACAGGGACACATCTCTAAATAAAGACTGTGTGACAGGGACACATCTCTAAACAGACTCTGTGTGACAGGGACACATCTCTAAATAAAGACTGTGTGACAGGGACACATCTCTAAACAGACTCTGTGTGACAGGGACACATCTCTAAACAGACTCTGTGTGACAGGGACACATCTCTAAACAGACTCTGTGTGACAGGGACACATCTCTAAATAAAGACTGTGTGACAGGGACACATCTCTAAACAGACTCTGTGTGACAGGGACACATCTCTAAAGACTGTGTGACAGGGACACTCTAAACAGACTCTGTGTGACAGGGACACATCTCTAAAGACTGTGTGACAGGGACACATCTCTAAACAGATCTGTGTGACAGGGACACATCTCTAAATAAAGACTGTGTGACAGGGACACATCTCTAAACAGACTCTGTGTGACAGGGACACATCTCTAAACAGACTCTGTGTGACAGGGACACATCTCTCTCTGACTAAAGACTGTGTGACAGGGACACATCTCTAAACAGACTCTGTGTGACAGGGACACATCTCTAAACAGACGTGTGACAGGTGACACATCTCTAAGACTGTGTGACAGGACACATCTCTAAACAGACTCTGTGTGACAGGGACACATCTCTAAACAGACTCTGTGTGACAGGGACACATCTCTAAATAAAGACTGTGTGACAGGGACACATCTCTAAACAGACTCTGTGTGACAGGACACATCTCTAAATAAAGACTGTGTGACAGGGACACATCTCTAAACAGACTCTGTGTGACAGGGACACATCTCTAAACAGACTCTGTGTGACAGGGACACATCTCTAAACAGACTCTGTGTGACAGGGACACATCTCTAAACAGACTCTGTGTGACAGGGACACATCTCTAAATAAAGACTGTGTGACAGGGACACATCTCTAAAACAGACTCTGTGTGACAGGGACACATCTCTAAACAGACTCCGTGTGACAGGGACACATCTCTAAATAAAGACTGTGTGACAGGGACACATCTCTAAACAGACTCTGTGTGACAGGGACACATCTCTAAAACAGACTCTGTGTGACAGACAGACTGTGTGACAGGGACACATCTCTAAACAGACTCTGTGTGTGTGACAGGGACACATCTCTAAATAAAGACTGTGTGACAGGGACACATCTCTAAACAGACTCTGTGTGACAGGGACACATCTCTAAACAGACTCTGTGTGACAGGGACACATCTCTAAATAAAGACTGTGTGACAGGGACACATCTCTAAACAGACTCTGTGTGACAGGGACACATCTCTAAACAGACTCTGTGTGACAGGGACACATCTCTAAACAGACTCTGTGTGACAGGGACACATCTCTCTCTAAACAGACTCTGTGTGACAGGGACACATCTCTAAACAGACTCTGTGTGACAGGGACACATCTCTAAACAGACTCTGTGTGACAGGGACACATCTCTAAACAGACTCTGTGTGACAGGGACACATCTCTAAATAAAGACTGTGTGACAGGGACACATGAGTAAAGATGATAAATATTTAGAGATGCAGCAGAGCACTGGGGCTGTGAGTGTATCTGACCACATGTTATAAAATAATCCAGTGAGGTTCATTTGGTCTTTGGATCATTTATGTTATTCGGTTCTTTTGTCAAACCAGACAGAAACTGTCAGGGATGAAAACAAACTCTTGGTCTGAAAAAAGAACCTACAGTAATAACATGTTATAAAGTGCACACGTCTAATGAATCCTTCAGACACTTGTGTGTTTGAAAGAGACAAAATAACTCTTACTGCACCACCACAAACTGATGTTCTACACATAAAGATCATGAGGAAGTCTTTACTTCAGGTCATTTGAATATGATTCGGTTGTTTAGTTTATGATTAAACAAAAGCTTCAGGACACAGTGAGCGCGGCTGTTGTGCTGGACTGACATTTCCTGCTCATCTCCACCAGACGCCCATTACACAGTGGAACATTCCAGGCAAAGCAGCATCGTCTCCATGGAGACAAGAGTCCAGACTCCACAGTGGTATTGTAGTATATTCTATACTCAGTGTGTGTATGTTCTAATACTCACCTGGTTTTTGGATAAATTCTCCAGGTGAACAGAGCGAGTGTTTCTGAGACGCTTCACAGTTTCCCTCGTCTGACGACCCCACACAGAAGAACCCGTCCTCAGGTTCACACACAGAGTTAGAAGTGGAGGAACACGAAACCTTCACTCTCAGACCAGAACCTGAGGACAAAAAAAATAAAAACACAGTTACACACAAACACACACAGTTCAATATTTGTATTTTAAATGGTAAACAACATTTTTTGCATTTGATTAAATCTGATGTTTAGTTTTCCGGAGCTGCTGCAGAAACAGGAACCTGAATCTTTATTTGAACACTTTAATACAAAAGGACAATTGCACAACACACAACAACAGCTCTTTCAAAGTGGGTGGGTGTGGGTGAGTCTGTAAATTTAAAAAAACTGAGTTTACTGGTCGTCATTATTTCTGGATTCTTTGCAGTATCAGCATCAGTCGTGCTCGAATGTTACACAACGAGCTGCACAAACACTTCTATATAACCTCCTGCTGGGACAGAGAACACTTGTACACTCAGACTGAAAGTGAAACAAAACTAAAGTGTCAGGTCACAAACTGGATGAACTGGTTTATGTTTACTGTCTCTGTAGTTAGATTTATTATATGGAATTCAATGTTTTCTCAGTCAGAATAAAAAAAATTATAAAGTGAAAAAGTGAAATTCCTTTATCTACATCCATAGTTTTTAAAAGTTGAAATGTTTCAGCTGCACAGACGTGATCGTTCTCGGCTCTTTCACTTCAAACTCTTATTATTCACACTGTTTGTTTGTGGAGCCGACTGTGATAAACATGAAGTGTATTTAAATCTCCCACAGAGTTAAATAGTTAAAGTGCCAAGACTTTCAGTTCTGCAATGAAACTCACACAAAACTACATAGCCGCAGCTTTTAAACATATCTAGGCCAGAGGTGGATGAACTCACTTTTACTTTTACTTTCTTCTTTTTTTATTTAGTCCTTCAGTTCATACACATGCACATACACATACACATGCACATACACACACATACACATGCACATACACACGCACATACACACACACATGCACATACACATACACATGCACATACACATGCACATGCACATACACACGCACATACACACGCACATACACATACACATGCACATGCACATACACATGCACACACGTACATACACATGCACATACACATGCACATGCACATACACATGCACACGTACATACACACACACACATGCACATACACATGCACATGCACATACACATGCACACGCACATACACATACACATGCACATACACATACACATGCACATACACATGCACACGTACATACACATGGACATGCACATACACATGCACATACACATGCACACATACACATACACATGCACATACACACATGCACATACACACACACATACACACGCACATACACACACACATACACATGCACATACACATACACATGCACATGCACACGTACATACACATACACATACACACACATGCACATGCACATACACATGCACATACACATACACATGCACATGCACACGTACATACACATACACACACACACATACACATGTACACATACACATACACATACACATACACATGCACACACACATACATGTACATACTGTATATAGACATATACTAGATCAGGAGTCAAACTCAAACTCACAGAGGCCAAAATTAAAAACTGGCACTAAGTCATGGGCCAAACTAAATATTTATTTAAATATTTCAACAACATCTGCAGGTTTTCTCTTCTTTGGAGTTCTGTAATGTTAAACCTTTTCTTATTCAAATAAATGTTTAATAATAGTTTTGCTTAAACATTGTATCCAGAACAAACAGAATATAAAATAATAACATTTTAAATAAATCATGTGTCTGTCGTCTGTGTGCAGCAGCAGCAGCTCTGATACAGATTTGATTTGAATTCACGGGACAAATATAATTATATCATGAGGCAAATTTGGCCCCCAGGCCTGAATTGGACATGTCTGCACTAGTACGTACACACACACACACACACACACACACACACACACACACACACCTATACACCTATATAAGTTCATGCTCAAATATTTCATTTTTTGTGAAACCCACATTTCCATGTCTGAAACTTTTGGAACAGAATTTTGAGAAAGACATTACGTTGCTTTTGTCTCAGTGAACTCCATCTCCAGATACGCTGGAAAGAATTAACGAGTTCCAGAAGGTTCTGACAGAACAATCAGCACATCAAGTACAGATCCCTATATGTTTTATTTAAATACTTTCTTATGGCAAAAGGAGAAATTCAATTTGTCACTGGATAAAAGTTTATTTTAGTCGAATCCGTTTCTCAGTTCGTCCAAGCTGCTTCTGGTCAGACACTGGTGGACACTTCCTTATATCTGCCTACAGGAGGAGCTAACTACACTGAAACTCCTCTGAAACTAACACACACACTTGTTCATCTGCTCTGAGTGTGGCTCATATCAGCAGAATCATTCAGGCCCATCATGATGTTTTCACACCTCTCCATGTTGTTCACTTTATTTTAGGTTTGAGGATGGAGTTGTAGAGTAGGGTGTTTGTTTTAGAATAGTTTCAGTGTAGTTAGCGCCCCCTTCAGACAGATATAAGGAAGTGTCACCAGCGTCTGACCAGAACTGAAGAAGCAGCTTGGATGAACTGAGAAACGTTGTCGACATAAATAAACATTTGCCTGGACGACTGAGGGACTCTCTACACATTTAAAGTACTTTCTTACTTTTACTTCATTTCGTTTCAGCACTTATAAAGTCGTGTTTACCTGCAGCACACATCCTACAGCGCAGACACTCTGTCCTCCCTGTGGGCTCGTCCATGTACGTCCCACTGTCACAGGGGAGACACGACGTGCTGCGGAACTCTGTACAGTGTTTATTCACTCGAGTCCCTGTTAAAACACAAACAGAGGCTGTGAAATACACATCTGTAAGTTAATAAATGTTCTACACAGAGCTGGGATCATTCAGAAGTTGCTGACAGACGTCGATACAGTGAGATTTCCATTCAGTACGATACAGTTCAACAAAAATAAAAGCTAAATCATGACTTTGACACTAAAAGTCTTTGTTAAACCACTTCTTGTGCAAATGAATGATTCATGTTTTGTAGTCATTGTTTTTTTTGCTTATTTTGTTGTTTTATTCTGACATTTGTCCTGTCTGCAGTTTTGAGTTTTACTTCCCGTCTTTGTCACTGTCAGCATCTTGTCTTATCTCGTCTCTTGTCATGGCAGTTTACTTTCAGTTTTTGGAGTTTTGGATTTATAGATTTTTTGGACCTTTCTTTGTTTGTTATTACAGAACTTTAAAAGCAGTCCTGCATTTTGTTTCCTCCCTCTGTTTCTGCGTGACAGGAACACAAACATTTAAATCCTCAAAACAATGAAAGTGTCAGATGTGCTGCTCAAAAGAATTTCCTTCTTCTGAACAAACAAAACTGGAGCTGGAAACAAAATCATTTAGTTAAAAAAATGCTCTTGGTGATGTATCGATACAGCAGCCCACGATACCGATCCTGTATCATCACATTAAACAATACGATATATCGATATTTCAATATTTTTGCACACTCCTAATGCTGCTTTGTCCCGTTGGCCTGTAAGACTCAACTTCCCAAAAATTTCACACCAGAACCATAAACACCACGAGGAAAACCCAGGGGAAGTATTACGGAAAACAGACTCTTGTGAGGTTTAGGTTTCCTCCTCAAAAACAGAGCTGGAGTTGTAACTCTTTATTATTAGTCTGTCTACAAACCTCAGCCGCTCTGTTCCACCTTGTGATGTCATGAAGCGGTAGTTTTGAAGTGAACAGCTCCTTTTCTCTTTACCGTATTTTCCAGACTATTGAGCGCACCTGAATAAAAGCCGCATCAACAAATTTTTTTATAGAATTTTAAAATTTTACCGTATTTTCCGTAGTATTAGTCGCTCTGGATTATAAGGCGCACTGTCATTAAATGGTCTATTTTTGAACTTTTTTTCACAAATAAACGGCGTGGGACTTTAAAAGAAACCCAACAGTGTGATGGGTGAGTGGTTTTGTTTGTTTGTTCGTTCACGGTGACTCTGGGCTTTGTTCAGTTGTGGCGTGTAGGGAGGGTGTGTCTGGGACCAACGGATTGTCGGCGAGTTCGCAGTGACTCAGTTGTTCAGTCGTGTCTAGAAGCGGCATGTTGGACTCGTCGCTTTTTCGGTTTGTTCCTCAGTTCCGTTCCTCACATTTTTAGCTCTTTTTATTGTTTTGTAAACGCTACAATCACCCGCAACAACAGATTAACATGTTTTATAAGTTTCGGTTTTGCTGCTAAGTCGCTCCCCCTTCAGAGCGCCATCACAACACAATCACCGCGCGTTCCTCTAACGAAACTACTGCGATTTTCTGTCACGTTTTTGTATTATTTATGGAGAATTTTCATGTTTACCGTCGTATTTATGGAGAAATCTCGTACAGAGAGATCGCTAGATTACTGAAACACACGTGGATGTCTCTAAAACCTCTTCAGACATGTTTTTTTAGACGATGGAACATTAAAACATGGGAGAAAGCTCCAAAAATACCCCGTCTTTAAGCCCAGTTTTCCATTCATCTCGACAGAAATTCTAATCTTGGTAAACGGAATTTCAGTTGTTCGTCGTTATCGGTCATTTTTTACATTTTAAAACTTTCATGTTGTCTGGGATCAACGGATTGTCGGCGTGTTCGCAGTGACTCAGTTGTTCAGTTGTGTCTAGAAGCGGCACGTTGCGCTCGTCGCTTTTTCGGTTCGTTCCTCCGTTCTGTTCGTCGTCGGCGTGGAGTGATGAGTGTGTCTGTGGGTGTGTTTCGCTGTGCGGTCGCTGTCTGCTCCGTGTGTGTTTGTGTGTTCTGCGGGATGGTTTGTAGTTTACCAAAGTTGTACTGAGTGGATTCGTGTATGGGGCGCTCTGGATTGTGGCGCGCGGGCGGTTTTGATGGGTTTGGAGATTTAAGAGCGCAACCTATAGTGCGGAAAGTACGGTACATATATCGGCCGCACTTGTCCTAAGCCGCAGGTGTCCACGTCTTCAAAAATGTTTTCAGGTTTGGGTCATCTGCTTTTATCGCCTCAAAGCTTTTGTCCTTTTTTTTGGATTGAGTCAGTTCGTCGCGCTGCCGTCGCCAAAATCTCACCATCAGCTAGATTTCCTTCTTCAGCTTTAACTTAAAATCTGCTTCATCTGCGTTTCTTCGTGTGTTTCCATGAGGAGGGTGTGTGTATGAAGCACAAAATAACACAATCAAACTAGAATCTTCCTCGGCGTCTCTCCTCGCGCTCTACTGCTCATGTCTCCTGCAGAAAGAGTCTCTGTTCTGTCTGTATCTCGTCAGTGTCTTGAAGGATTTCAGCAGATTACAGACTCTCTCGGGGGCGGGGACAGGTGTATTGATGTGGCTCTAGGGTGGTGATGTTTATAGGCGAGTTTGAGCTGACGTCATTGTTATTAAAAGCCCGCGTTGCTGCTGGGAAATATTTTGGTCGGAAGGAAGAAGGAAAATTTCTTTTTTCGTATTCCGAGTGAAAAAAACTGTTAACGGTGAATTAAACGGCTTTCAAACATCCGCAGAGCAAACGTAGAAGATTCCTAACAAACCGTGGACTCCAACAAGTTCAACAACACATCCAGACTCTTGGAGGTTTTCATCTTTTCTGCTGTGAATGGCCCAGGAGTTTCACCAAGTCATTGTGGATGTCGCCCAAGTGAATATTTGTCCAGGGAGTTGGAGATTCTGACCAGAAGTTTGGTTTGGTCCAGACTCTGTCGGGGTTGAAAAGGGAGATTTGTCGTCCGTCGATGTTTATGACCAATTTCTGGTCAAATGGTCTTGGGTCGTCTGCCGTTAGAGTGGATCAATAACCGGGATCAATACCTTTTACGTTCTTTCTCGCTCCGTCCGTTATGTTGAATTATTGTTTCTTGCCGCCGACCAAAATAATTCCCAGCATGCAACGCTTTTGTCAACAATGAAACTCACTTAAATGTTGTAAAGTTGAGTTTATTTATGCAGATTAGTAATAATAATAAAAAATAATGATGATACTTATATAAAAACATTAATGATAGCATGAAAATAATGTAATAATGAATTCAAATGAAAATACCTCAAGTTGAAGCTTTTCTCAGCAATTTTTAGTTGAAATTAAAAAAGAGATTCATTAGATCAATTAATTACAGATCATAATTAATTCATCTCTCAATTTTTTTTTTAATCGCTTGACAGCACTAATTATTTCCACATCTCAGACAAAAAACTGAATAAATCAGTTGGTTATTATTGATCCATCCAACACTCGTGTGCCAGTCCAGAGTCCAGAGTCGATAATAAAGAGTTGGCACATACCCACTGGACACATGGGACAACACTCCTCTCCAATCAGATACTCAGCTCGGTGACAGATGGGGCCTGTGATCACCTCAATCACAAAAATAATCTGTGAACAAAACAAAACCAGATATTGCTCAAAGTGTTAAGATACTTTTACGTTTGACTTGAAGCTCAAATATGACACAAAAATGCCTCTTGTGAACTTTAAAGGTTGTATAGAGGATTTATTAAGGGAAGACAAATACAGCAACACTCTTTTCAAATGTTGTGCATGTGTGACACCACCTTCCTCCTCCACAGCTTCATCAGTAGAAACATCTCCTCCCCCCGCCTCTTTACTCTAGAAATCACACTTGTTTACAGCCGGTGCGTGTTCAGAATTACTGTTGAAGTTTCCAGTCTAGAAATAATTCAGCGACCGATGCATCAGTTTTTAGACCCTCAATTTGCTTCATTTGTGCCATCGTTGGAAGGAACCTGGAAGAATCACCTCAGTTTGTCTTCGCTCCTTTTCCCCTTCTTCTCTTCTTCTTTCAGCTCAAAAACCAACTTTCTTTTGCAGTGAACTGGTCGTGGATTCTCGTCCGACATCGCAACAAACTTTGTGCGAACTGCGAGGAAGCAAGTTTGAAAAAGTCTCTAATATCCGCCGCATAAACCACATAATCCCCGCGCGCCGGAGAGTCAGTTACACTAGAAACGTAGAGAGTTTGATTGACAACCTAACAGCCAATAGAAAATGAGGGAGCCTCGTTTTCTATTGGCTGATGTTTATCTGTCCTCAACACGTCCACAGTTGGTAGATTTTCTTTTTCTTTTTTTTTTTTTTGGTCATCTTAATTACAAAGCTGCTGCATCTCTGTAACGGTATTTTAAACTTTCACTGACAATTTGAAACAAAAAAAAAATCCTCCATACAACCTTTAAGCCCTGTTATAACTCCCAGAGTCACAAAAGAGAAGAAAAACTTACCAAAATGACCAGGAAAACAGTGACTTCCTCATGCTTCCTCATGTTGTGTATTTAAAGTCGTATTCATGATGCAAAATCCCTGTGTGAGACACTGGACTTCAGAATCTGAGAGACACATAAAGGAGACACACAGGAGACTTTAAACTCTAAACTCACTTTACACTCAGAGTTGAACACAGATGGAAATCGACCAAATGTGGGACAAACTTGTTTTTGACAAAATGTGAAGATGAGGGACATTTTGTTGGAAAAAACGTGTTTATTTTTTTGTGTGGTTTGTAGGAGAAATTCGTAGCCAGACTTAGTGCCTTTGCTCAGTTTCATTTCTCTTCAGCGACTGTGTCAGGAATCAGAAAACACTGGACGGTTTGCAAAAAGCCTGGAAGTGGGAGTCCAGGCAGGAAATTTACAAAAGCCACTAATGTGAGGGTGGATCCTGGATAAGAGGCAAGTGCACTGTGTTCAAATGATCCCGTACGTGTTTGTTGTGAAAGGAGAAACCGGCGAGCCCATTGCACAGCCCTGGATTCACCTGCAGAAGTTTCCTCTGAACTGAAAACAAGTCGTGTTCAAACACATTTCCAGCGGTTGACTTGACTTTTCTCACAAATTCTGCTGAGTTCTCAGTGTGATGCTCCGTGTGACTCACCACAGGAGCAGGACGGTCACTGTGGACACGACCGGTCAAAAGTTTAAAAACACCCTCATTTTTCCAGTTATTTATTACAATTCAAATGGTGCAACTCCATTGAAGAACTTGAAATGATCCAAAGGTAAAAACTGAACAGACAGAGGTTAAAAAAAAAATAATAAATAAAAGAACAAAACACAAGTACAAGACAGTAAAAGTTTGAAAACCTGGAGTGTCCAGCAGCAGCAGCAGCTCAGTGTCCAGACTTAAACCCATCGAGCTGAAGAGTGAAGCAACCGACAAGTGTCACACATTTATGGAAACTTCTGCATCAGACTTGGGAAGAACTTTCTCAACAATATTTGATTTGTGTTGTAAAAAGAACGAGCCACGAGTGAGTTCAGCTGTTCTATCTGACAAAGTGTGAAGTGTGAAGTCCTTCAGTCGTCCAGGTAGAATCCAGGTCGAGGAGAAAATTCAGTTTGTCGACTGGACAAAAGTTAGTTTGGTTGAAGACGTTCCTCAGTTCATCCAAGCTGCTTCTTCAGTTCTGGTCAGACGCTGGTGACACTTCCTTTTATCTGTCTGCAGGAGGAGCTAACGACACTGAAACTAACACACACTTGTTTACAGTTTCTGTAAACTTTTGTCCAGTCGACAAACTTTCTCCTCGCAGCATATTTACCAAAGGTCGACACACACATCAACTTAAATTTAAAAAATGTTTTGGTCAAAGAGAAAACTGGAAAAAAACTGGAAAAAGTGTGGTGTTCTAAAACTTTTGTCCGGTAGTGTACGGGATGGAGTCTGTGCTACAAACAACGGGCTTTTTTTTTGTTTTTTCATTGCTTCCGTTTGAACAAAACTCCTTCATTTTTGTTTTGGTAACAGTCGGTAAATACTATAAAAAATACTATATTTTACTGTACAGCAACTCACCCTTATGAAACAGATAATACTCCCTACAACTGTACAACTCACCCTGATGTCACAGATAATACTCCCTACAACTGTACAACAACTCACCCTGATGTCACAGATAATACTCCCTACAACTGTACAACTCACCCTTATGTCACAGATAATACTCCCTACAACTGTACAACAACTCACCCTTATGTCACAGATAATACTCCCTACAACTGTACAACAACTCACCCTGATGTCACAGATAATACTCCCTACAACTGTACAACTCACCCTGATGTCACAGATAATACTCCCTACAACTGTACAACAACTCAGCATTATGTAACAGATAATACTCCCTACAACTGTACAACAACTCAGCATTATGTCACAGATAATACTCCCTACAACATATCATATCATCGTTGCACTGTTTTCTTTCTTTCTTTGTTTCTTCTTTATTTGTATAAAGTTGTGATTTTATTTTATTTTGACTTGTACATTTGCATTTATATAATTATGTTTTATTTGTCTCTTGCTCTTTTCTGCTGCTTATTTAGAATTAATTTTACTATTTATATATATATTTTTACTCTTTGTTATTATATTTATTGTGACGCGTGACTCCTGTGTCCAAATCATTTCCCTCGTGGATCAGTTTGTTCACATTTCTGCATATTTTTTTTTAACTCTTTAACACCTTAATTGACACGTATTATAATCGTCAAATTGTTGTTATTTAACGCGTCTAAGTATTATATAAATGATAATTAACTCCTCCCACTCATTTTCTCAGCCAATGAATTTAAAATGTTTTCAGCCAATCAGTGACCAAGATAAAGAGTCAAAACATCCCCACAACGCGTCAAATAAGAACAAACAAATTATATAATCTTAGAATACGCGTCAAAAAGAAATAAATAAAAGTGTTAACGCGTAAAAATGTGAGTAAATGTGAACAGTTTGGCCATGTTTACGTTTTTACATAAGTGCATAAACGTCACGGAAAATTGCTTAATCTTCAGGTCAGAACAGAAGGAAACAGAAGAGAAGTTAATAAGTCACACTACAAGTTCCTTAAAACAAAACAAAAACTAAACTAAACTAAACAAAAAAACAAAACAAATGTGAAAGAGAAAGAGCACAACTGCCCTCGCGCTCTTCTCGTGATCCGTGACACACGCACATACACGCACATACACGCACAGACACGCACAGACACACACACACACACACACACACACATACACACACATACACACTCATACACACACATACACACACAGACACACAGACACACAGACACACAGACACACAGACACACACAGACACACAGACCGATAATTAAAAATTAGTTGTTTTTTTTTGCTGAGGGACACGTCCTCAAACTGCGGGATTTGAGCAGTAAATATAATCTCACACACACACAGACACCAGGTCTTCACACTCTGAAATGTTCTGGACGTTTGATAATCCGCGTTTTAATCCACGTCACTGTGTAACTTACGCAAAGCCATTTGTATTTTCCCAAATCAAACTGTTAGATCTTGTAGGCCAGAGTTTAAGGTTAATCCAACCATATGACGACGCTGAAAGACGCTGCTCGTGACGCGACCGCGGATTTAGAAAAGACTCGAGTTTAAAATCGTTTTCGCAAAGATTCGAGACGATGTGGAGCAGGTTTCAAGTAGTTTATAGCGAAATACTTACGAGCTTTGTCGAGACGTGGACGGGAGAGACATAGTTGGCGTTTATCCTCAGAGGTTTCATTTTTCATTTCACCATCAGGTAGCGCCCTCTACAGTCTGGGTTATTACGTCATTACGTCATCAGGTTACGCTCAGTGTTTGTTGTTGTTGAAGTGGACGCGCTCACAGATGGAAACAGAATGATTTTTTGTTTTGTTTTTTACGCACAGGTGTTTTGGACAAACATCTGTGTCCTGAAGAACTTCTGACACTTCTTCATCATCTTCATCATCTTCATCATCTTCATCACGCAGAGCGACGCAGAGAACATTTACAGAACCTCCTCCTCATCACCGCACGGACCAGCGGTGCAGAGTAACGAAGTAAAAGTAACTAACTGTACTGTACTTCAGTCAAGTACAGATACTTCAGTTCATACATAAGTATATTTTAATGTGGATACTTTTTACTTTTACTTCACTACATTTGAAAGAAAATATTTGTAATAATAATAAGAATAATATTTATTTATAAAGCACTTTTCAGGACACTCAGACATTTTACAGACACAGATTAAAACAGCAATAAACAAATAAAACAGATCAATAAAAAGCAAATCTGTGACTGAGAACGACGTCTGGATCTGGTTTTGAAGTTTGTAGTTTGAAAAAAATATATATATATCATTAAAAACAGCAGGAAAAACAATTCAGCACAAACTATTATTAACCCTCTCAGGCTCAAATTCATTTTTAGTATCAGGAAAAATCAGATATTTGGGGAAAATGATCATATGTGTAGTAATATACAATCCTGACTTTAGTTTGAGAGACGTTCACATCAGTGTGTCTGGGATGTTTCAGATTTGGTCTGGTGATAAATTAACACTGAAGACTGAAAATGTTCTTACACAGTCTGTATCGTCCATGTTTATCAGCATGGATGAGAGAAAAAGGCTCCTGAGTAAAAAAAGCTCATAAAATATGGATTTGGAGTCAGTAGGTCATTGGAACATCTGCCTGGAGAGGGATAATAAAAATTACAGTTGAAGCTTCATAAAACCTTAAAATTTACACAAAATGTTCTCATGTTTTACTTTTTAAGTACATTTTGAAACAAGGACAGTGCACAGAAAACATTCAGCTTTAAAAGAAAAGATCCTCTGCAGCTACAAGAGTCAAACTCTTTCCCATGTGCAGTCGTCAGGCAGAGGCAGGAGACACTGAAGACACTTTTACATAAAGCTCGACTAACAGCTCTTCATCATAACAAACAATTCAAGTCATCGTTAAAAATAAAAATAAAAAATCATTCTGATCACGTCCCATCAATACAAAGTTTCAAATTCCTCATTAAAAATAAAAATATAACAAAAATACAGTAAATACAGTGAATTGTTATTAATATCCTTCATAATGCAGTTATCAAAGTCACCAGTTTTATTATTGTCTAAAATACAATCTGTCGTCAACATCATCATAAAGACACATTTTATTATTATTCAAAGACGGCAGCACATCTGCATCTGTGAAACATCTGCATCTGTGAAACATCTGCATCTGTGAAACATCTGCATCTGTGAAACATCTGCATCTGTGAAACATCTGCATCTGTGAAACATCTGCATCTGTGAAACATCTGCATCTGTGAAACATCTGCAGCTCAATCTGTCCACGTTTAAACGTTAAGGCTGGTTTATGGTTCTGCCACACAGCTCCAGATGCACCTGACTACTGTAGTACTACAAAAACTACTGTAGTACTACAAAAACTACTGTAGTACTACAAAAACTACTGTAGTACTACAAAAACTACTGTAGTACTACAAAAACTACTGTAGTACTACAAAAACTACTACACTCTGAACTTCCACCAGGAGCTGTGATTGGTTGAACCACAAAAACTACACGACTGATTCAAAACAGACTAGAACAGATAAAGTTTGGCACAGAAAATGTCACATACAAACCAAATGTGATTGTTATTTATTTATGTGACGTTGAAAAAATAATGAATTCAAATGAAATAGTCTGGATTCCCATGATGCACCTGGGCCCTGAGGAGCTCTGCAGAAGCTCATCAGGGTCAAGTCTAAATAAAACCGGCCTTTAGAAGAAGCGTGAAGCTGCTCCTGACCTTTGGTTCAGAGCTACAGTTTCATCCATGAGAGAAAATGCAGGAGCGAGTGCAAGTTTTAGTTCAGTTAAGTTACTGTTCCAGTTTGTGCTGCTGTGTGACAAACACACAACTGTAAGCTTCATATTGTTACAGGAAACTTCAGCAGGCGACAAAGTGAAACTTTAAAATGGAAGTGTAAGAGAGAAATGTTTGTTCAGAGGCTCCAGTGCCAAAAACAGTCACACACACACACACACACACACACACACACACAAATACAAACACTTACACACATAATGCACATCCAGTTTATCAGAAGAATCATTGAGTGTGTTTACATATGCACACATTTTTGTCCATTTGACAGAATTGAATTTCGCCTTTTCTATAAAAATCTAAAATTTTGTGTATTTTTTGTGGTGTCACTGCTCAGAGACTGTAAAGCTATTTTCAGACCGCGGCACCAAGGCGTCCAGTTCACATGCAAAGGCTCTGTGAATGCACGTCTAGGGCGTCCTGCGTTTTTGCAGCGTGTCGAAAATCTGGCATCAAAGGAGCATGTTTAACTTTTTTTTTTGTTGTTGAACTCAAACTGAGCTCACCTGTTGTAGCTCCACTGAAGTCGTCTCTTTCTGGTCACATTGTGTTAAAATAAAGATGAAGATCTGATCATTTCCCAGTACATGTTTGGATCTCAATTGCATCAACATTTTTTCTTCCATCAGTAATTGCATCATGTTGATCTTTTCACACGCTGTAGATGTTAAATGTGTGACGTGGTCTTTATGCTTCATGATGTAGGTGGTTTTCTCTGGTCCGGTCCTCCAGAGGGTTCAGTTCTTCTCTTGGTGGTGGCGTATTAAGCCTTTTCATTTCAAACACGCGTTTCTTGAAGATATAAATCAGTCCAACTGCAACTAATGACACGAGCAATACAACAACGACACCGACACCAACACCAATAGCTACAGTCGAGTCTTTTTCTCCACATTCAGCGTCCGACTGTGAGGTTCCTTCTTTCACTGTGACTTTATTCTTCTCTTCACACCTGGAACAGTCACAGTCACAGTCACTTTACACAGACATGTTATATTTGACTTTCTGGCTAGTTTAGCATCACACATCAGAGGAAACTCATTTCAGATTGTTCACGTGTAAAGGCAAACTCATGTGATAAAGACACAAATTACAGTGAAGTTATTTGAAACATTATTTTACTTCGACTTACAAATATCACTGTTACTCCAAAATCCACTAAAGGTTGTATCCACATTCTGAAATGTGTGGGGGTCATGTTATTCACTGTTTTTAATAGAAGTCATTTGGGAAAAAAATGAACTTTGTGCCAGTTTTTGTTTCATGTGGAAAGTTCCAGTAATTACAGATATGAATGATAAACCATGTCAATAAATCTGCACCTGACAGTTACAGCAAACTCCACCTGAGACTGTCACCTGTCCTCCACGTCCAGCTCAGTGTTAGGTGTATGATGTTTTCATGTTCTTCCAACTCTGACTTGGTGTAGTGAGAGTCCCTGTGCTAAATATGTATGATAGTTTTACATCAATAAAAAGAAGAAACACTACAGGAAAAACTCTGTCAGTTTGGTCTCTTAGTAATAAGTGTTTATATGGAATCAACAGCAGCGTCCACGCTGCTCTGAAAGATGTTTTAATATGTAATTTAATCATCTTGCATCCATATTCAGAGTCTGTTTTCTCAAAGTGCATTTCCTTCAAACGGACATAAGGAAGAGTAGCACTACACACCAGAATTTACAACCTCATACTGAACAAGATTTAAACCAAACGTACAGAAGATTTTTTTCATCTTTAGTAAAGGTTAATTCTGTTTTCACTTATAAAATTAGAATCAGCAATTCTTTTAGTCAGACAGGAGAGTTTGTGTGTGTGTATGTGCTTTACATGTTTCCTGTATCGTCCTCAGAAACGTCACGGTGTAATGATTGATTGATTGATTGCATTTATACAGCACCTTTCAAGATCTCCAAATCGCTTTACAGTTCATTATTCAGTCACTCCCCACTCAGTGGGGGTAAGATGCTATTGTAATCACAGCTGCCCTGGGGCAGACTGACTGAAGTGCGGCCGCCAATCTACGCCATCGGCCCCTCCGACCACCATCACACACACACACACACACACACACACACACACACACACACACACACACACACTCCACTTTCATACTAGGCAATGTGGGTGAAGTGTCTTGCGTAAGGACACAACAACAGTTTTTTGCCACTGACGCCTCCCTGATGGTGCAGTGACGATACAGTGACAGTGTAATGTGGTGCACTGATGTGTCTTGCTGCTTTACTAGGGGACTTTTACGCCTCCTACTGTCTGGCACTTTCTCCAGGACTGCATCTCATATGTGATAAAGTGTACACTCCCTTGTCTTGGTTGATGCTCCTTGGACCTGGTTTGTGGACCTTGAGCCTCTCTGATCCAGGTTTGTGTGTTGCTCATTTGGCTGATTTCAGATTTTCCTGTTCTGCTTGTTCTTTTATGGCTCGTTTGTCTGCGTGCCATTTCCTTTTCATTCATTCTGATGTTCATTTTTCCAAGTTCATGACATTATATTATTTATTTGTTGCTTTAATCATAACTGTTAATCATAACAGACTTTTGACTTTTATTGTCCCCAAGAGGAAATTCATTTTCCCGCACACAGAGCCGGTTGACATAAACTGATAAAAACCTTTATGTAGGACTGAAAACAACCTCACAAATCCATCTTTTGTATTTGTGCTCCTCTGGTTTTTCTGTTTTGGTCCTGACCCAATCAAGACTTTTTCTTTTACAGCAGAGACATTGGGACAGGGTCATAGATCGTATATATGAGTGTTCAGATCTAACGCTGTAGTCGTCCTGTGCCAAACATGAAGTTCTCCAGGAGGCTCTTCTGGCTCCTTCTGACTCTGGCTCATATTGACTTTACATTAGGATCTTGTGGCACATCTCTGTTCCTGCTGCTGTGGCCTTGTCATTTTGGTCTTAAAATGTTTGTACTAACCCACGACACATGATCCTGAATTTTTTTTCGCTATTTTGTCTGTCAAAAATCCTGTTAATGACATAGAGCCTGGCTCCAGATTCTCTCCTGTAGCCGTGAGCATCACAAGCCTCATTTGAGCGACGCTGAACTCTGTGTGTGACGTCACTTAGTCCACTTCTTTATACAGTCTGTGGACAGGGTCATAACAGATGTGTCCAAGTGAGCACCTGAACAACGTCTGATCAGAAACACGACACAACAGAGACCAGACCTGAGGGTCGGGACGGGTCAGAAAAAACCTGAACCACTCACCACTCCCAGCCATGTTCATCTGCTTATCATGTGTGGAAGAAAAAAGACAAAAAAGATTCGTACCGTGTGTGCGGCCGACAGACTGACACAGTCCCATTAGAGAAGGAGTCTGGAAGGACACGGAGAACAAACTGTGTCTGTAGAAGAACTCCCTGTGAACACACAGATCACAGGTCACACACATTAACACTGTACTATATTTTACTCAAGTAAGAGTTCTGTTACTTCAATAAAACTATGATTCAAGTAGGAGTAAAAGTATTTTGGTAGAAAAGTATTGTGAAAAGTAGAATCTCTTGTAAATATAAGTGAGTCGTCCTCTGTGCTGCGTCTGTCTGGACGTTTAGGAAACTGTGGCACAAACTAAAATATTTTATTTTTACCATTTTCTGCTTCAACAGTCAGAGTTTTAAATCAGAGCTGTTCTACAAACATGCTAAATCGGTCTCCAAGAACAGTTGACAGTGATGGTCAGTTAAATACAATCAATGAAGCTGCCCAGGGACCACAGGTGTAGCACTGATGCTCCAATCTGGTACGTGCATCTCTCCTGTCAAGGTTAATGTAAAATTGTGTGCTGTCCCTGTCTCAAATAATACATAACATTTAATGTCACAGTTTCTTCTCATTGACTGAAGTTTTATTTGACTGTATCTGATATAAACTATTAAAAAAAACACTTTGGAAACACCTCAGATCTCAATGTGAAAAAAAATCTGTTGTATATCAATACAAATGTCTGAGGAACAAAAGGATCCTCCTCTTTAATGGAAATAACATTTTCAGCCACAGAAGCTTCACTTTATCCACACCCTGAAAATCAAAGTGAAATTATGTTGTGAAATTATGAGGCTCAACCATTTTGCCAAAATTTAATTTAATTTCTGCAACTCAAAATTAGTTTGTTTTGGGATTCTCCAAATGAGGTGACGGATGGTGTCTTCAGTGTTTTGTCTGGCACAGGAATTATACAGTGGGGCAAAAAGTATTTAGTCAACCACCATTGGGAGAGGCCTGTAATTTTCAACATAGGTTCACTTCAACTATGAGAGACAGAATGGAGGGAAAGAATCCAGGAAATCACATTGTAGGATTTTAAAAAATTAATTAATTGGTAAATTCCTTGGTAAAATAAATATTTGGTCACCTACAAACAAGCACAATTTGTGTCTCTCACAGACCTCTAACTTCTTCTTTACGAGGCTCCTGTCCTCCGCTCGTTTCCTGTATTAATCTCCCCTGTTTGAACTGGTTCAGTATAAAAGACACGTGTCCACAACAGTCACACTCCAAACTCCACTATAGCTAAGACCAAAGAGCTGCCAAAGGACCAGAAACTAAACTGTGGACCTGCACCAGGCTGAGAAGACTGAATCTGCAATAGGGAAGCAGCTCAGTGTGAACAAATCAACTGTGGGAGCAATTGTTAGAAAATGGAAGACATACAAGACCATCTGGGGCTCCACGCAAGATCTCACCCCGTGGGGTCAAAATGACCACAAGAACAGTGAGCAAAAATCCCAGCAGCACAGGGGGACCTCGTGATTGACCTGCAGAGAGCTGGGACCAAAGTAACAAAGGCACCATCAGTAACACTACACCTCCAGGGACTCAAACCCTGCAGTGTCAGATGTGTCACTCTGCTTAAGCCAGGACATGTCTGAAGAGCATTTGGATGATCCAGAAGAAGATTTGGAGAATATCCTAGGGTCAGATGAAACCAAAATAGAACTTTTTGGTAAAAACTCAACTCGTGGTGTTTGAAGGAGAAAGAATGCAGAGCTGCATCCAAAGAACACCAGAGCCACTGTGAAGCATGGGGGTGGAAACATCAGGCTCTGGGGCAGTTTTTCTGCAAAGGGACCAGGGTGACTGATCTGTGTTGAGGATAGGATAAAGGGCCATGTGTCATGAGATTTTGAGTGAAAACCTCCTTCCATCAGCAAGGGCACTGAAGATGAAACATGGCTGAGTCTTTCAGCATGACAATGATACCAAACACACCACCCGGGTAACCAATGTTTCATAAGAAACATTTCAAGGTCCTGGAGTGGCCAAGCCAGTCTCCAGATTTCAACCCCAGAGAAAATCTTTGGAGGGAGATGAAAGTCCGTGTTGCCCAGTGACAGAACCAAAACATCAGAGCTGTAGTAGAAATCTGCAGGAGGAATGGGCCAAAATACCAGCAACAGTGAAAACCTTGTGAAGACAGAAAACATCTGACCTCTGCCATTGCCAACAAAGGGTATATAACAAAATACTGACATTAACTTCTTTTATTGACCAAATACTTATTTTCTACCATAATTTGCAAATAAATTCTTTAAAATTTTCTGGATTTTTTTCTCTCATTCTGTCTCTCATAGTTGAAGTGAACCTATGATGAAAATTACAGGCCTCTCTCCCCTTTTTAAGTGGGAGAACTTGCACAATTGGTGGTTGAATAAACACTTTTTTGCCCCGCTGTAGATGGAAATTATGTCTGAGAGCTACAGTCTGGTACAAAGAATCTTTTCAGTGATTCTTTGATTAATGCCCCTGTACATGGTCCCTGTAAACTCAACTCAACTCAACAAAACAGAGTCTTGTGGGATGTTCTCCCAGGTCTGTGTGAGCATCACTGAGTTCCTGTAGAGTCTGAGGAGGAACCTGGAGCATGTGATGGACCCAAACATCATGTCCCAGAGGTTCTGTCTGGTTTAAGTCAGGTGATGGTGAAGGACGTTCAGTCGTATTGATCCTTCATCCTCCAGGTTCTGTCAGACGAGCTGTGTGTCCCTTCATGGATCTGCCTCCTCAGACCATCACTGACTCACCACCAAACCCTCCTCGAGGAACGTTCTCCTCATCTTCTCCAGACTCTTTCTCGTCTGTCACAGGAGCTCAGGATGAACCAAAGCAGCACGAGTGGAAAAGCAGCCAAAAAACACCACGAGGAGAAACTGGAAATGAACTCCACATGTGAAACCAGCTCCCGGTTCAGGGTCCAGTCCTGTTTCAGGGTCCAGTCCTGGTTCAGGGTCCAGTCCCGGTTCAGGGTCCAGTCCTGGTTCAGGTCTCACTGGTGTCACTTTACTGCCTCTGTGTTCATTTCCATGAAAAGAGGAGCATCTGTTTGTTCCTCAGACGTTGGTCTCTTCACATTTGTATTGATACACAACAGATTTTTCACATTGATTTTCAAAGTGTTTCTTTATTTTCTTGAGCAGTAAAGTGTTTGATTGTGTAAAGTCAAACATGTGCAGCTCAGTGCAGTTTTATTGTGGAAGTGCAGATTGTTCTGAGTTGTTTTTCTCACCTGGTTGTTGGATAAATTCTCCAGGTGAACAGAGCGAGTGTTTCTGAGTCTCTTCACAGTTTCCCTCGTCTGACGACTTCACACAGAAGAACCCGTCCTCAGGTTCACACACAGTGTCAGAACTGGAGGAACATGGAACCTTCACTCTGAGACCAGAACCTGGACACAACAACACACACACACACACACACACACACACACACACACACACACACACACACACACACACACACACACACACACACACACACACACACACACACACACACACACACACACACACACACAGTTACACATGATCTCTGGACAAAAATGTAAACATTCCAAATTTACTGAAATGTAAATTTAAGGTAATGACAGAGTTCATGTAACAGCAGACAGTAAATCCTTAAACATGTGTCATTTATTCAGTCTGGGCTGAGATTAAACGTCAGGTTTTCATGTTTATCTGATCAGTTCAGTTTGGTGGAACAGGATCTGTCGTCAAAAGTGGAAAATTACAGGCTGCTGGTGCTGGGTTAAAAAAAGTTTATATACAGAAGTTTAAAAGCAGAGGTGCAGTTCTTACCTGAATCACAGGTTCTACACTGGAAACACTCTGTCCTCGCTGTGGGCTCGTCCATGTACGTCCCATTGTCACACCAGGAGACACGACGTGCTGCGAAACTCTGTACAGTGTTTATCCACTCGAGATCCTGTCAACAGCAGATAAATAAAAACATTATAATTCATAACATGAACGAAGATGAATGATCCATTATTTAAACTGAAAATCAAGATCTCAAACAACACGATTCTGGAAGCATCAAAGCCGTGGTTTTTTGCAGTGTTTCTAACTGACCCAGAGAGAACACCCCTCTGACACAGAGAGAACACCCCTCTGTCACACAGAGAGAACACCCCTCTGACACAGAGAGAACACCCCTCTGACACACAGAGAGAACACCCCTCTGACACAGAGAGAACACCCCCTCTGTCACAGAGAGAACACCCCCTCTGACACAGAGAGAACACCCCTCTGTCACAGAGAGACAACACCCCTCTGACACAGAGAGAACACCCCTCTGTCACAGAGAGAACACCCCTCTGACACAGAGAGAGAACACCCCTCTGACACAGAGAGAACACCCCTCTGTCACAGAGAGAACACCCCTCTGACACAGAGAGAACACCCCTCTGTCACAGAGAGAGAACACCCCTCTGACACAGAGAGAACACCCCTCTGACACAGAGAGAACACCCCTCTGACACAGAGAGAACACCCCTCTGACACAGAGAGAACACCCCTCTGACACAGAGAGAACACCCCTCTGTCACAGAGAGAACACCCCTCTGACACAGAGAGAACACCCCTCTGTCACACAGAGAGAACACCCCTCTGTCACAGAGAGAACAACCCCTCTGACACAGAGAGAACACCCCTCTGTCACAGAGAG